AGAGAGAGAGAGAGAGAGTACTTTGGAGACGCAGCAGACGCGACCGATCTCGAGATTTTGGAGGTTTTCACCTATGGATGGATGTGATTCCACCACACCCTGTAGCTCTATGATAGCCCATTCCCGGCATTCTTCCGCCCCGCAGCTGCACTTCAAGCGGATCTGCATCCTGCTACTATTTCAGCGACGGAGATTGAAGAGCAGCATAGAAGAAATGGCTTTTGCCAAGTTTTGAAGGCGGGAAAATTTTAGTGCTTTGCCGCCAAATTTAAACTTCGATTTTCGTTTTTATACATTTTTTCTAGGCGAATAATTTTAAGGTCATTTAGATGATAAAATATTACATTTAGACATCACATGGCACATCGCGACGACTGGCGGCTACGCTGTCATACATGTCATTGCGAGCGATATTGCCGCTAGTTATTAGTCTTCTAGACATACGAACATTCGGACGAAATATTATTTCTGTTTAGATTCATATCACTTAATTCTTATATTTTTACATATCTAACACATGATTTTTATTTATTACATTTATAGGAACTAAATCTTTCATTTTAGATTGGAAATATCACTATTTTAATTTTTTATGTTATGAAACTTGTTTTTCGTGCAAAAATTATATCACATGTGCACTTGAGGGGAACTACCTTATGCTGCCCTAGGGTCATTGCCTGTCTCTTCAATTTTAGTTTTTCTCTCAATAAAAAATTTTTTGTTCTTAAAATTTGCTCGGTCTAAATTTTCAACTTTGCCAATTTTCAATGAAAAAAGTCAAACTTAATTAGGATTTTTTAATAGATTTATTAACTAATTGAATTAAAATTTTATAATTTTTAAGCATGTAAATATAGAGGAATTGTCATATGTTGTCCGACGGACTGTTAGGGATATCAAAACTTCAAAATGAGAGAAAATATTGCATTCGATGCTCCAATTGATTAGCGCTGGGCTGGAGCCACTTCAACGTGTATGCTAAACTGTCCTCTGACAGTTAGTCATATATTTGACACAATATTTTGTCTCAAAATGAAGACACCACAACTGCTAATAGTTAGGCTAGAAACTATTCCGTCCGAACACCGCATGTCTGGACAACCATTTGCTAGTCACTAGATCGTCATACATCTCATCGACAAACAACATAACAGTCGATAATAGATTGTCCGAATGGAATTTTTTTTTATAGCGAGGGACATAGAAAATTATTACTTATGTAAATTCAAAAAAAAAAAAAACAACCTCCACTTAATTCAAGCCATTAAATTAAATATAAGTACTTAAGCGTAGCTAATATTTGCAGCCACCACACCCTATTTAACTATTTATATCACTCGTACAGAATAAAATTCCCTCATTATAAAATGCCAGCTCTTCTATCTCCCCGACTTAACTCCCCGCTAGAAAAAAGTGATCGATGGGTTTCTGTTCTTGTTTGCATGTGTGAGGTGTGATTTTGTTCTTTAGTGTCAACATAATCAGGGTTTCACATGCCGCTGCCTAGATTTCCAAGTTTATGATATCATGTAAGAAATATCGTCTAGAAGAAATCAGTATCTTGCATATGACAACTAAGACATTTTGCATTGGCAAGATGACGCCTAAGCCTCAAGGCAGATCTCTTTGTATGGATTGAACTCAAAAGTTGAAAAAAGCCATAAGTTTAAAAGTAGATGAAAATGTAATCATTTAAAAGAAAAAAAAAACAAGAAAAATAGAAAAAATGCAGTTAAAAATAGTTTAAGAAAGGAAAAAAGAATGAAAAAGTATCTTTTAAAAAACAAAATAAAACCATGAACATAAAAAAGTTGTGTTATACTAAAAAAATAAAAAAAAGTTTAGAAGGAAAAAAGAAGGTTAAAGGGGTATTTGCATGCATAGCACACAATTCTAATTTATTTCCATATCTCACACCTATACCTTCATATTTACTCACATAGCACCCAAATCTTTAATATCACATTAAAATAGCACTATTATCATATTTTTAAAGTGAATTACACATTTTCATGCATTGGTTTAAAGCACCAAAGTGATGCATGTTAATATGAAAATTTAGATTGAGATATGAAAATACAGAAGAATTGTGTGTCATGTGTGTAAACTTCCCAAAATAAAAGAAAACTAAAAATATGAAGTTGAGA